TAGAGCAGAGGAAATCCACATGCGTGCCCTACGTATGTTTCACAAGTGATTCCTAAGGGAATTCCGATTCCGAGAATTTACTTCTGACGAACGGATAGAATTTACTCTGCACTTCTAGATATTTAAAGTGAGGTCTGGCCACGATAATAGAGCTAGGATCGAGGAGTAACACCCTCGAGAAATATTACGCGAGCTTCTGGAACGGCGGTAAGTAGTCACGCTCGGTCTGACCACAGCCGTCTTCGACTACTTGGAGTGGAACGACACGGAATACCGCGCCGCGAAGGATTCTTGTGCGCGAGGACGGGGGACGTAACAAAACAAGACGAGGAGCTCCCGGAGCTCCCAGAACTGTTCTCGGAACTTCAAATCGACTGGCTTTAATTATATTACGGCCACGTGTGCCAGACAAAGCGGGTGCGCGCAACTTCTCCAAGAGAGAAATAAACCGAGATTAACTCTGTACGCTCAATCTGAAGTGACGGAGAAGTGCTATTGAGGCCTTGACGTAACAATATCTGACTTCTCTTATCGTTCAGCCTGCGAATAATTTCTGATCGATGAGAGAGAATAAAGAAAAAAAATAATAAAATACGAAGCAAATTTGTAGCTTCGGCTACTTGACGTATTACACGATAAAGTGTCCCCGCACGATATCGGTTCCCCGTGTTCCGTTCGAGGCAGGTGTTTAATTTTAAAGTTAGATTGTGTGTGCGCGTGTATGTGTAAGGGAGACTATTCTTTTCGTATAATGCACGCGAGTTATTGTGAGTAATAATTCGCGCCTTTCCAAAAGAGCCCTTTCAAGAAGATCGCGCCGTCTCCTCACAATGTAATTTGCACACGGACGCGACTCCGTGCACGTACGAAACACCTTCACGCGGACCAATTTCTATAGTGCATATAACACCACGGTGAAAGCCGCTGGCCTTTTGTTTTCGTCGATTAAGAACGCCCACTGCTATTTAAACCACCACAATGTGCGCAGCTACATCACACATGTTTCGTCGCAGTGTCTGCTCGTTCGAGATATCTTGTAATATCTCATAAATTTATACTCGCCATGTCAGTCGGTCTACGGCGAAACGTGGCAAACCTTGCCGCTAAAAGCAAATTATAATTCCAATAAGCCGTGTTTTAAACGAGGTATGTATTTTTAAATCTTACACGCGCCAATGTCACTTTAAACACTGTGGAAAAGAATTATCATTAAATTATTACAAAGCGGATGGTGTATCACGATGTCTCGCGGGGAATTGGATTTCGCGAGTGCTTAGCGTTTACGACAAACCGGTGAGACGTGGCACGGGAGAAGTGGCCACTCTTGGAGAATTAATTGGATGCCACGTCGGAAAATTCACGAAATAGTCTATTTAAGATGTACGGCTGCCCCGTACTTGATCAATAAAACGCGCTTTGTGTAACGAGTCGTTAAAGACGTTTCCCGTTCCACGCGCTGCCTTGAATAAAGAAGGCAACAGGTTTGACTCTCCGCATCTTTACCATTGATGCATTGATGCTAACCCTCGGACCCTTTCTCGACGTTACATTTTCGCGACGTAACGTCTATTGATGTCGATCTCAGAAGGATACAAGTAAAGTCTTCTTATAAAAGCGTCTTGTAAGAGCGTTTTTCTGTGTCCTTCGTACGCGAGGCCGATATTTAATTTCGCGATCAACGCTTGCCAAAGAAAGAATTTGTGGAATAGCTGCCTCGCAAAAAGGAATCGGCTTTCTTAGCGGCGGTGGTTTTATTTATAATAAATGCTGCCCCGACAGAGCCACATAATTATAGATACGAAAAAAAAGTGTACGGTTTTAAATTCTTGAAAATTAATATTCATGATTAAAAAAGCGCGGCGTGTTTCGATGACATATAACGATAACATATAAGCGACGGAATGTACACTTGCTGTGTACATTTATTTCTGATTTTTATACCGCTTGAATAAAGGTACGTGTCATTTAAGGCATACTTTGATACTTTGACGCTAGACGAACGATAAAGCGAAGCGCGGATTTCTAAAGGGTACCAAAGTAAACCGTGACGGAGGAGATATTTGCAAAGGGGATACGCAGAGGCAAGATCCTACTTTTAGAAATGAAAATGAAAAGGGGGAGTTTGGCGAGCGGCTTACAAAGTTGCGGATTTCATAGTAAACTGGGGTCTCCGCTCCCTAGACAAATTTACAGTATGATATTAAGAAAGTTCAGTCGTACAAGACCACCGAAATCTCGTCTTGCGGTTCGCCGTGCTGTTTGACAAAGTGCCTACGTACACAATCTGTTGCGGCGGTAACAAAATAATTTGTCCCTACTCCACGTATTCGGAAATTATTAATTCCACGAAGTTCCCTTCTCCGCCGTGCGTACAGGATACTGTAAAAATCAATTAATTCGATATCGCGCGCGCGCGCGTGATCTCAGTAGTTAATTATAAAGAGATTTAAAGCGAAACAGCGAAGATACCATTGAGGCCGTTTTCAAATTCCTCGGAAAATCAATCTATAATCCCAGCATTAAGTTAGAACGAAGTTCTCTTTGTCGAAGATTGAAAGATTTATTGAAATCGACAGTAAATATTTCCTTTGATCGTTGACCCACTTCTGGTCGGGAGGATATTTTTCATTCAAGGGGCCCTCCGGCTCTTTTCCCTTGGTTACGCACCGTTAAAAGTGCGTGATCGAAGAAGAATCGCCAGCACCCCTTTTCTCTCTCTCTGTACGCGAAGAACTGATAGAGTCTGTTTGATCGCACGTAATCTGCCGTAATTAGACTACAAGCTCAGTCGGGCATAGCTAACAAAGGATCGAGAAACTAATCTAGAAAGATTTATCTGATGCTCTATCTGAAAAAATAAAATCGTGCAATCTGTCGCAAAGTTAGTACATCACATTAAATTGTACACATTCCCAGCAACGGAAGCAAAAATATCGTGAAATAGAGAGACGGAGAACTCCTTGTGTCTCAAGGTGATTTCACAAATGTTCTGCTCAACAGAGACACTTTGGATTAATACATAATTCTTTGTTAATTAAAGAAATAATGTAACTCACTTGACCTTTCAAATACTTGTGACAATACTACGCTTGGACAATTTTAAAACCGCGACGAGCGAACGCGATACAAATCGAACTGACGGTAAAAGCTCTCTGTGAAAAACGTCTTTGTTTTCGAAAGGGCTTTAGCGATTCGAAACCAATTACCGAGGGCTCGCAATAAGCGTTTTGTAACCGCGATTGATGGATCCGTTAAATTTTTGGTGAATTCTATAATTACACGCGACATATACGCCGACGTACTCGAAGGGTATAATCCGCTCGATCAACCGATTCCCTTTGTCGGACGTGCAAAGCTCTTTCAAAGTATCAACGGCAGGACGGTCGCGCTGAATGCCAGGGGGTGGATTCTTCAATTTTCTACATTCGAACGTCCGCGAGACGAGTCGCGTCTCACGAATTGTCTAATAGCACGCGCGTTACTCCGAGGGAATTTGGCATTATTCGAGACTCGATTTCCACCCGATATTCTCGATGCAGAAACAGAAATGGGCGTGTACGTTCTCGCATCTTCCTTCCGACTACCGTCCGCTGTAGATGATGTACGCGCTTGTCTCGCCACCGGGTAGATTTCAAAACTTTGTACAGCAGAAACAACGGGTACAACAGCCGGCTGTGTGTAAAAAATTTGACCGGTTGTGAAATAACGCTGAAACGTGAGTGGCAAAAGAGACGCTTCCTAAACTCGTACGCTCGACGTATGAGAGTTACGTCTTTTTTTTTTTACCTTGACGGTCTCTACGGCTCTCGTCCTGTGAAGCCGAGCGGTGAGAAATTTTATCTACGTTCCAGAATTATGTAAGCAACGTCGGGTAATAACACAGTGACCATTTTTTCGCACGAGCGCTGTATAAATTCTATAATATTGAGCGATGAGCGATTTTGTCTGTTTATCTATCGCGTTCCAGTCAACCGAACGCATGTCATCGCGCGCTCAGCGCTTTTTTCTATAATAAATCTTAAAATTGCTTTAGAAAAATTTGTTTCTCCCCGAGAGAAGGATCGCGATCTCGACGTATCTCAAATCTTCGTCGTGTCGCGAACGTATTATCGTCGCTCGCGTGAACTTTGGCCGCGGGGATGTAATTAATCGTTATGGAATTTCTCGCAACAACTTGGATACAGACCGCAATAAAGCGACGCGAGATTGCAATTTTGCAAGTGCATACTCCAAGTGCCTACCAAACATTCCTTCATCCGCAGGTACGTTGTAAACGCGTTATTTGCTCAAAGTAATCGCTGGATAATCATTTCATCAAACACGACCGAAAGGTCAGTCCGACGCAAGGAGGCGAGTGAAATGTGCGTTGGGTAAATTTTTTTTTCCGATTCAATTGAAAGAAGCAAATGTATCGTGTACCACGTACCTGCAATCAACGCAAAATAAGATACAGATTCGAGACTCAAAATGTATCTTATCGAACAAGAATCGACATAACACGTCTTGCTGTAAAAAATTGAAAACAGTAAAAGAATGTTCGTAGTTAATTTGATTATCGAGAAAACAAGAGTTCGACGTGAACTCTAAGAAAAGTTTATTAAAAAAAAGAGCTGTTATCAGAATATTCTATTATTTTTACGTGAACTCCACTTTAGCAGACGTTTAATTTAAGAATAAAGAGTCACTGCGAATGTTTATTTTTAGAGTCTTTATATCTAATATTAAAAATTGTATTAGTTCAATATTCCTCCGAAGAAAATTCACTCAACATCGAGGAGCGCGAAAGAAAAGGCGGCGAATCTAGGCATATCCCTGTATCGAATTGCGCTTCAATTTCTGATACCCTTAATGGATACTTCAACAGAACTCTCCAATATGTACGAACTGTTTTATGTCGCTAATTTAACTGTTCGTTTAACTAAAATAAGGAATTTCCGGCGTTACGGAGAGCGTGTTCGCGTCGCGGGGGTAAGTTAAGAATATCGTAAGGGACCACTCACTGCGGGCTGGCGAATCTCGTTGACAATGGAGATGTAGAGGAACAGGCTCACGAGGTAATTTCTGGTGAATCCCATCATCTTCTCGCTGGTGACGATCAAGCCTGTCCGTCGCGACGCGGGTTTCCAAATGTGAGTATCGCTCTTCAGAACGTTGCCTCTTATATAGGGTGCACTCCAGCCGGCGCAGGCGTTCTCCACCCCCGAGCGTCCTCCTCGCCCCATAACGCACCCCCACATACGGCGTATGTACGCAACGTACGTCGCGGCTGTCCTTTTTTTCCAATTTTCTATTTTTTTTCACCTCTCCTCTCTGACGGCGACGATGCAACGCGCACATGATCCCAGAGGCAAACGGCGAGGCAAGTCGCGCGGATTCTTCGCGAAGGGGGTGAGAAAGGGAGAGACGTAGCGAGAGGGCGAGTTTTTGGGATTCAGGGTATCCAGCAAGCTCAACGAAAAAAATTCCCTGACTTTTTCAGGTTTTCCAGGAGCCGGAATTAATTTTTCCCTGGCCGTTTAGCGTAACTTTTTTCAAGTTGCATAATTTGCGTACGTCTGTATGGTAAATCAAGTAAATGTTAAATGGCGAAGTGCTTGAAATGTTTTTCTCGGGAAACAAAAGTCCGGAATTTAAAAGGATAAAAATTTAAATTAAAGCAATTATAACATCTGTGTATAATACATTGTGTAATACCATTTATGATACCGTACGTAATCATATAGAATGCTTTCGTTTTGCTTAACTGCATTTTGCAACTCACTAGATAGTACTGTTTAGTAATTCATCTTTTTTTTATAGTATTGTCTCAGTTGAACACTTTGAAATAAAATAAGCACGACGATGAAAATGTAAATTACCGACCACGCTTATAAATAAATTCATGTTTAGCAAAGCAGAGAATTAGTGTACTGAGAGCCAACAAAAAGTTTATTTTCTAAAAACTTTAAATTATTCAGAAAAAAATGTGAAACGATGTAAAAAATCCAGATAAATCGTAAAATTTCCTGACTTTTCCCCGACATTTCCAGATTTCGATAAATGCCCTGACAATTCCCGGTTTTCCAGATTCCCCTGACCACTGGACACCCTGGGATTGTAACGCGGCTAATATCCGCGCTTATTGCGCATCGAGAACGAGAGTGTTGACCATGGCGTTGCTCAATGATATTCGAAGTACCGTCGCGCTCTTTATTAAAAAGTCTCTCTCCGCTTCTACTACCACCCTTTTAAATGTATTGTAAGAAGAAATAAAAATAAAAAGATACGGCGCACTCGTCATTTCTGTAGGGATAAATGCACAGTTTATATTGAAACCGAAAATTGGAAGCGACCAGATCTCGAATTTAATTAATTCTCGGCAGCCGTGACAAAATAATCTAAAATGGAATTATTTCGTGATTATTGACATATCCACGTCTCTGCAGCATTAGAATTATACTGGTTCTTGCGGCACTCAAACGTTACTTGACCTGACGTAATTTGATTATATCTTTGCTCATATCGGGATCGCGGCTTTTAAATAAAGATAATTATTATAAGAAAATGTTAGAAAATACTGCAATAATTCGGCGAATCGAGGGCTACGTAATTTCGGGGCGACTGACCTTTTCTGAAATAGCATCATCTTTTATTGGTACCCCCGACTCCCCGGTTTTTCTCGTCGGGTCTGATCCTCTTCTACATCTATAACGTTCATTGCTCGAAAGACATGACAAGAATACCTTTTCTCCGCTATTTATAGAATCAGCGATCTTCTAAGATTCCACTTAATCGTCCATTTTTTACTCGATCTTCTCCTGGAAGTTTATGCTACGACCCGAACTAAAAATAGTATTCAGTAGTGACATCAATAAACGTCTCGTTGGTGACGTAATTATAGAAAAACAATCCCAAAATTACAGAGAAAAGAGATATTCGTGTTCCTAGAAATAACGTCAGCTTGTGTAGTTGTTACAGCTACAGAAGTTAACTTTTAATCAACTTTTTACATACTCTTATTCTCTCTCTCTCTCTTTCTCTGTGTCCGGATAATTCGCTATACATATTTTATATATAATAATACGAATAAGGTAGCACTTTTTCCGATATTACCCCGCGATATTATTGGGCGAAAACTAATTATGCAATCTACATGTAAAAATTTGAACGAACTATTTTTGTACACATAATTAGAATATTCACCAATATATACGACCTTTTAAGTAAAAATATATCACTTTAAGAATTCGCACGGGGTGGGGCGAAATAAAAAATAAAATACGAATAGAAATTCTCATTACAAGCTGTCGTCCGCGGTGGGCCAAGGGACCTGCAATAAGAACCAAGATATCACATAGTCGTATGACGTCCGTGGTATCGTATTTTGATACGAAGTCTTTCGGGAATCTAGAATTTCTGCTGTAATTGACCGTATATTTGTCACGCGAATACCGCAAGATCGATACTCCAAATGCGAAATAAACAAGACGCAAATAAACTCGATCGTCTTCTCCAATATTTAAATTCAAGAAAATGGTGCAATTGAAAATATTACAATAATTATCGTCGACACCCACTAGAATTTTGTTAATGGCAGAGAATTACGTTCTATATAAAATTGCTGTGGTCGTGTAATTAAAATCTGAAAATTCACATATAAAATATTTAGTTAGAAACACACACATTTTTAGCCAAAAATGTAAATGTAAAGCGTAAAATCATCAATTGAGGACAAATCTTTTCCAATTTAATTTGTATAAAATATCATTTTATTATTATAGGACATTTACATTTTCTAAGCGCATACATTTCCTTTGACCGCCATAGTAAAGATCGAAGAAGTTACAGGATACATTCCATTGTCGTTTGTCAAATCACCTTGTCTACAAGATTACATAACCATCAGAATTAATAATTAGAACTGCGTGTATTTCAATCACAGATATAGCTACAACTACAAAATACCATATTCTATTCTCGAGATAATTAATCAATATATTTTCCCTTCAATGCTCCTGCATAAAATTCACTGATCAACTTCTTCAATGTCTGCCGGTATTTTATTTAGATCTACTAGGTTTTCAGCTTGACTCGTACAAGTAGACATATTCCTACAGATGTATTAGGTATAATAAAAACATGCACAAAGAAGCGTATTAATCAGTGAATATATTGATCGCCCATCAATGTGAATGATATACATACTTGTATATTTACAATGGTATATATTAGAATTAAAAGCTGATTAACTGGTCGTCGCCTAGCCATTAATGTATTCGAGTCTGAGTAAGCGTCTTGAATTCAACCTTGCGAAAAGGTATTATCTCATGGAATCGTTACGTCAAGATTATTTCTTTTTTACGAATAAATTTGTTCATCCCGCCGATAATTGTATACTGAAGGTGTAACTCACATCAATCAAATAACCAATCGCAAAATTCAAGGCAAACGTAAGACATAAATTATATTAATGTAGTAATGTTGAAATATGTTAAATAAGACATCCCTGTGTAAAAGATATAATCAGGAAGAATCATCTTGAAATAAAAAATTTTTCCAAGACTTATCGTAAAAAGAAAACAAAGGAGATACTTGGCAGAATAATAACACAAAAATACCCTGTATAAACTTTATGTTACATATAATTCATAACTTAGACAGGAAAATTTATTAAATTATTATTGATCATACTAAAAAATAAATTATTATTGATCATTGTGCATTTGGTCTTATAGAAATACTTATTTGTAAGAATGGCAACCGTTACATTTATTTAGGAACAATGCAGAACCATACATCATTTCAGACAATGGTTACGAGTTTAGCGAGCTAATCAATAAAAATGTAAAAAAAAAACACAAATTTTTCAATTTTTGCACATTGAAAAACACTATTATCATACTGCTATAAGTGGCTGTGAAACAAAAATGGAACGTGCAAAAATCTAAAAAAAAAAAAAAGTATATTCTTTCCTTCCCTACATCCACTTTTGTATTTACTTCAAATTAACCACCGGTTGTTTTATTTAACATTTTCATGTATAGTTCCATTAAAATTCGCCAGTAAAATTCTGAAAAGAATTATTTTTACGAATTTATGCGATCAAATACATCTCACAAATGTGTCACTCGAATCAGTCGTTTCTTTCTTGAAGATGAGTGCCATTTATATACATGTATATGAGAGATGCAATCTGAAAGAGTAAAAAATAAAATCGATAAACCTAACCAATAGTCAATATAAAATAAGAGATAATCTATAAAAAGTGTAATATAAAGATAATAATTAGGCAATTAACCGATGCAAATGAAAACAGATTCAAATGACGAGCGTTATAGAAACGAGATAGGTAAATATATATAAAAAGTAGTTTCTACAATAGAAGATGCATCAATATGTCTGTCATCAATATGTATAAATATCAGTCATATTATTTTGATACTAACACTGAAACTGAAATTGTCACTTCCGATTTATTTTTTCACATTCTTAACGTCCTTCTCGTCCATAGTGTTGTTAAACTTGCTCGACATAGCCTCGTGATACGCGTCTAGCAATTCTTGCGCAGTCATTTTAGAGCATACGCTCTTAAAAATACTGAGCAAGCTCTCTTTGGATACATCATTATTTTGAATATGCGTGGCCATGAACTGGGACGTCCACAGTTGATCTAGGACACGTTTAGCCATGCCAGGGGATTGCTCTAATGCTTGCGCTATACCTTCTGAACTGTTATTCTGCAAGGCGATGTCCAGAACTACCGACGCCGGAATAAGTTCTTCGTTCGCTACGGTATGACTAATGATCACGTCCATTGGTAACCTTTGTAACATAGCATTTAAACTTGACAGTTCCGGCATGGATTGTTTGATACCTTCTTTCTCTTCTTGCTTTAGTTTCTCCGACAGTATCTCAATGATATCGGACGACGTGCATCTTTGGCAGATCGCGCTTTTCAATTTATTAAAGTCTAAGCTGTTCAAGCCATCGGCTATATTGAGCTTCTTGCTATAAAACTTGAGCACCTTATCGAAGAACTGTTTGTCGTGGCTAAAAATATCAGGCAATCTAAGAAGGACTTTGTTGACGCCGCATGCACGGCAGGCTGCCTTCAACGATGCATCGTTGACTTGTTGTTTGTCTTGCAGGCCGAGCATTTTGATCGTTTCCTTCAACAGTTCTCCTTCCTTCACGTGTGCCATCTTTATCTGACAGTTAATTTTCCATTTGTTTATTTGATAAACAATCAATCTAATGATATACCAAGCAAAATTTACCTTATATTGCAGCAGAACTGCCTCGGGATTGCATCTTTTAGCCGCGCTTTCCATCACCAGATTTACGTCAATTTCGTCCAGTAGTTCTGCAAGCGTCATTTGAGACGCAACAGATTTCGTCGACTGTTTAACAGCCGGTGTCGTGGAACCGATCTCGTCAGTATTGGTACCAATTGAGGAGTGTGTAATTAAAAGTTCGTCATACACACTTGAAACTCCAGCAGGATCTTTTCTTGCGTCCAGGCTGACATTTGAAGTTGATGTTGTCTGGCTCGTAGTTGTACTTCAAAAGAAAAAAAAACATATTTTTATATTTTAAATTGTTCACTCTATAATAAAATTTCTTATATATAATGAAAATGTATAAAATAAAGCTGTAAAAGATAACGTACATGCTTTCAGAGGACGACGAAGGGATTGGCACGGGTTCGGGATTATCTGTAGACGTTCCAGGTTTGGAATTTTGAGCAGCGATCGGTAACTTCGCGCTTGTTTGTCCATTCTCTATAGAAGTGTTTAAGGCTAACAAATCAGGATGATAAGGAATCGTGGGTCCCAGTGAAATATCCATGTCACTAGTGACCGATTCCGTTTTATCCCCGTCTTCCACAGACGAATTTCTACTCGGTAGACTATCGGATGTATTTCCGATAGGCTGGATAAGTGGCGTGCTACAAGTTAAGGACTCATTGTCGTTCGCCGCAGATCCCATTTCGACGTTGGACAAAACGGCGATTGGCACAATTTCGTCCGTCGCCTTAACAGGCAATTGCTCGACTTTACTTGACTTTTCAGCAGAGGACTCCTTCGTTCGCAGCATGCACGTGCTTTCAAAATGCTTCAGTACCTTCCTCACAAATTCAGTCTTTGGTTTACCCTTCACAGGCATTCTATCAATTTCGCGCTCAGACAGGTCGGCAATATCGCCGATTGTGTGTATATTTCTATTCGCAAAAAATGTACTTAGATTTTGCTTCCAGAGAGGATACGTCAATCGCTCGGTGATACTAGCGACAGGCTCCATGCACGACGACAGTGCTGGGTAAATAGGCTGCGTGGAGTCCAAAGATTCGGGATTGCGTTCCACGTTCCGCGCACTCGGAGCCGCCTCCTGACTCTGAGTGTCTTGCATCGTAGATAAACTGACGGAGTCCGTTATCGGCATGGTGTCTAGCTCCGCGATATTTTCTGTCGCTTGCGTACTACTGCGTATCGGCTTTTCGCAGAATATCTCGTCTGTATTTACAGTGGAATTCAATCCGATAATATTCTGGATATCCATAGTGTCCTCCATACTTGTCGGATCGTTGTCTTTGGTAGGTAAAGCCGCTATCACAGAGTCATTGGTCACATTCAGTTTAATAGAATCCACTGAATTATTCGGAATCAAGCCATCGTTGTCCGCCTGAATCACCGTGACGTCAACCTTTGCATCCATCCCGTCAAAGATATCTCGCTGCGTCTCGGTATCCTCCGTTTCGATGTCTATCGGCGAAGCGCCAGAATCTTCAAAAGATATAGACTGCTGGTCCTCCGAGACAACCGAATCCGTGGTTATCTCAATTTCTTGCGCCAATTCCAATTCTCCGATAACATCGATCCTCGCGCGAGGATTCATTTCGAGAATATTTTCAACAGCATTACCATTTTCTGGAGAATCGCTGGGCGTTTGCTCATCGATATCCGCAGGTTCTGAATAGGCTTCAGATATTTTTACCACTGCTTCTTTCTTCTTCTCGACCTCCATAGCTTCAGTGCCGTTTTTATTTTGAATATTATCCTCAGCTATATTCTCTACATTGATTTTCTCTGTATCAAATGGCACAAGTTTAAGTTTGGTTTGCTTGAATTTACTCGGAGAATCCTTCCTTGACGTAGAATTCCGTGCCAACGAATATTTAATCCCTTTTGGCGTGGTTTCCGCAGTGGAAATTTCATAGCCCATCTCTTTAGACACCGGTGGATCTGCAAAACTCACTCGCTTTCGCTGTAATGAAGAATATCCCAAATATATATATTATAAATATATCTGTGTTTTCAGTAAAAACCTCAAAACGTGTACAAAATAAAGATATAATACAGGACTAAAAAATGGTAATAAAATGGTAATTAAATAATAAAAAATAATCTAATTTTGCCTCTGTTTTTTAAAACACTACGTATGATAATATAAATTGTATAGAACATACCTTAGGTGTTAAATCTAGATCTGCTTCTGGTAGGCTCGACCGACGTTTAAGAATACTAACACTCGGTGACGCAGTTAACGAGGGTGGATTAGCGCTTGACCATTCCAATATTGGTAGATCGTTTCTTTCACGCAACGGCGATGCGTTTTTGTCATTTTCCTTGTCAATTGAACTGTCCGTCGTTGCGCAGTCCGGCGCGCTCTTGTTGAATCTAAACGACAGCTTCTCGCCATCGTTTTTCAAAGTAGTGAACGTGTGCGCCGACGAAGACGCGGCATAATCGGTCGATCTCATATTGCTGAAAATCTTTTCTTGTCGACTACCAGACGGACCACCTATTTTATCTATTTCTTTAACCATTGATGTCTTTTTACTCATCGACATCTCGTTTTCCACGTCCTTTGTTTTCAATTTCTTCGAGTCGTCCAACATCTTGGACGATTCTGTGTTCAGCTTCTTCAAGTCGTCCAGTATCTTGGACGGTTCTTCATCCAGTACAATATCGTTCGCGACGAGTCGCGCTTGACTCGTAACTAAACCTAACATGTGAGCAGCGCGTCCAGTAAAAGGTTTCAGCTTATAAAGTACCTTGCTATTGCTTCTTGGCGAAGTAAAATTTACGCTCGTAGATTTAATCGACGCTGAGTTATCGATTATCTTCTGACCCTCTGAAATTAAACTCTTCACGTTAGAATTATCAGTTTTCTGAACCGAATCTTTATCTATGCTATCTGCGACTTCTTCGTCGTTTATCTTTGTATTAACGTCAGGTTCGGCTTCATCTAATTCTTCGCATGGATCAGGTACATTATCGTTATCACCGCAATCCATGGGGATAGATTCAGGTACATATCTTTTGTCAACAGTCGCGTCAGAAGTTTTCGCAGCTTGGATATTAGTCATTTTATTAATCTTAATGAAACACTGCTTCTCGCCGTACAGTTTATCCAATTTTAAACAGACATTAGGAACTTGCGAACTCTCGACGACATCCTCGCCTTCCTCTTGACTCTGTTCGTTTGATTCAGCAAGTTCCGCAGGTGTTACATTCGAGTCAGATTTCAAATTATCCTTATCAAGCCTCTCTTGCTCTTGGACTTTATTAACATCCTGTACCGCTTGATTGGACGTTGGAATTGCAAGCGTCACATCTGTGTCGGTGTTAGTCAATTCAGCCTTATCACTAGAATCATTGGACTTTTCAACATCCTTAGTAACGTCCAGGTCATTTTTATTAGATTCTTGCTTGCTTCGTCTACTACGTCTCTTACACACCCCTTGCTCCATATCGTCTATATCCTTCGTAGTTCTCTCCATCCTTGGAGTTCGCTTTAATCCATCCGCCGATTTTGCATCTACGGATTTCAATCTGACGCACCTATCATATGTCCCGTATTTCCTTAATCCGTGTCCTACTGTTTCCCTTTCGCCTTCGTCCCGATGCTTCACTCGACGGCGATTTGCACCGGAATCAATAGTGAATACCATGTCGATTTTCAAACGAGATATCTCATTTCTCATACGTTGATTCATACTGTCTGGGACGTTGTCAGCGCTCCGCGATGTTTCACCGCCGTCATCATTAAGGTCTCTAAGAGATGTAACCTTTCGCTTGCGACATTGAACGCTTTCTTCTGATTCAGTGTCCGACGCGTACTTACGTTTAACGCCCTTCTTATTTTCGTTAGAATTTTCTTTAACAGTATCATCAGAATCGTCAGTAGCATCATCTGACTTCCGTTTACTATTTGTACCAGGTTTTTCCTGAGTAGTCTTCACTCTCAATGTTTTTTGTACATTTGTTGTACTCGAATCTTTCGAGGTCTCGACAGTTTCGTCATCTTTCAACGACGACGCAAATTTTGTCGTGCTATTACGATGCCGTCGTTTAATACTGTCTAACATTGACGGAGATGATTGTCGTTCGTGCGTTTGATCCTCGGGAAATTCATCCCGCGATTCAAAGTCCAACTTTTTCGCAACAGATACCATTGCGTCTGCACTCTCACCCTCTGTTGTAGCGTTCTTCCCACTGAAAGCAGCTGCATGCGAAGACAAATTCGCTTGTTTCGACATATCTTGCTTTCCATTAGACTCGTCGTTCTTAACTTTTTTCGTTGAAATTTCGTTTTGCTTGGTATTGACGGTATTCTCTCCAACATTTCCCTCCAATTCAATACCACAGATATCATCAGCACTCTTGTCCGTGGCGTTAGAGATTTCTATTTGTTTAAGCGTAACCTTGTTTTCCTTATTAGCATCGCTATCAATAGATTTCTGCATTGTAGAGTCGCCCTTTTTATTGTTGACTTTATCAATCTCGTTAATATGTTTGGCTTTAATATCAAACCACTGTTGCAGGTTTTGAGAGTTTTGCGAGGACGATTGAGAAAGATCGTTATATAGTGCCGGTATGTCTTCTCTTTTCCTCTTCAAAGTTTCCTTTTGATGCTCAGTTAAACGATTAACGTCAAATTTCAGATCTGTTTTTATGTACACGTAGTCCTAGAAGAAATTTGAAAATGTAGGAAACATCGGCCAGTTAACCCTTTAACATACAACATAAAATAATAATAAACATTTACTTGCGATTCAGGTTCAGATAATGTAGGTAGCGTATTTTTATCATTCTTTTCAGGTGGTTTAGCGGATTTCGTAGTAGCTGACTTCCTATTCAAGAAACTCCCGGCCACGTGCACCTCCTTCGCTTGTCCCGCTTCTGCTTTCTTCTTCGAAGCGCTATCAGACTTTGCATGAGACTTGCCTTTTGGTTTTTTTATTTCATCTAAAATGCACTTAGCGGTACTGTCCAAGTTGTCTTTAATTTCAAAAATAGATTGCGTCAAAGATCTTATATTTAGATTAGGATGATTCATAGCTATTACAATTGCTTCTTTGTACGACGATAAGAGTTTGTGATCCAATTGTTTATTGAGTCCTTTAAAAATACTGACTATATATTCCCACGTGTTTGCAACCTGTAAACAAAATTGCCAGAAAGAAGGAACGTGAAGAGTTAACTGGTTAACATAAAAATCGCATGCTCTGTAAAGAATATTGACGTCGTACTTCTTTAAAAAGCACCGTTGTTTGCGACGAAAGTACAAGTTTGATGATTGATTTACAATTATGCAGATACGACACTACTCTTGGCAGATTGTGCCCGTATATGGTGATAAGCATAGCTGACAATGCCTTCAGAGCTATTTCAGAATTAAGATTTTGCACGTCATTAAAAGAAATAATTATAACGTCCATTATTAGTTGCATAATGGATGGAATTTCGTCTTGATCTGAAACATGCAAAGTAGATATCACGTTCCGAGCATCGATACATTTTATATCAAGTTACAACAATAGGTCATGCATACCCAACAAAGATTCATAATCGAGGGTGCTCAATAAAGTGTCTAAGCAGTTGACAATAAGGGTACAACATTCTCTATTTATACTCAAACATTTCCGCATCATGCTTGCAGTATCCAGCAAGATTTCATTTGGTTTTATTGCAGCTATCGAATCTGAACGTAATTCAACCTCTTTGTATACAGTTTTCCACACTGTCGCTTGATTCTTTATCTGCAAAAGTATTAATGTATAAAAAAAAGGTTGTCACGGCAATATAAATGTAAAGTAGGGAAAGGGAAAGAATATTTGAAAAAATTATACACACCAGCTCGAGATCTTCCATATTTGTATAAAATGGAAAGGATAAAATTGATTTTATAACTTCAACGTCGTCTTTACTGATTTCAGAGTTTCTTATGTATTGTGTGAATATTTCTGTTATCATAGACCATAGTTCTATGTAAGCTAATTCATTGCTACCCCTGTAACACATTATTTATTAAATAATCGAATGCATTGTTATTAAAATTTGCTAAACTTACTTATTTTTATACGCATCATGCGCTGATTTCAGATTTCCCATTATCGTTTCCAGAAACCCAAATACACCTGAGGAATATGTAAATTCTGGACTGACACATCGCTCCAGAAGGCACTTGATTGTATTACTGTTGTAATCCCTATAATATCGAGATATAATAAATGCTTATACAACGTAGAACAGAGCGTATAAACGTATCGGCAATTAGTCTGAGATACACGTACAGGATGTACTTGAGCATTTCGTCAAGTATCGGAGATGTCAGAAGCTTCAATACCAATTCTGGCAATGCATTATCATGAACTTCCGTTTTCTCAATAATGCAATAAACATCAGGTAAGATTACATTAAACAACATGTCTCTCACCATGAGCTTATCTATATGATTCGTCAATTCAGTTACAACTATTATCACATCTCTGTACAGCTGGTCCTATAAAATTCAGTACGTAAAGCGACATTGTCAAGATTCCATTGTCTCGTATTTTACATCGCGAAAACGGTCAAGCTAAACATTGATTCATCACCTTCCGTATGTATATCATCAGGCTTTTCCATAACGTTTCACCGAGCTGAAAACGATTTTTCATCTCCTTATCTGTAAGTTGACCAAGAATAAGCACAGCCTCCGCTATACTATGAATAATGCTCTGGGAGCATTCTTTAAACACCTCGTAAGACATAGCATGAGGAAGTCTTTCTTCCAACATTGGAGGACAAACGGTAAAGAGATCTTCCTTTGTGACAAGTAATTGGCACAGGGCGTCCACAGCGACCACTTTTGTCTTGAAAAATCTTTTGCCTGGAGATGCAACAACGTCAAATTTGGCAGAGAGCAGTGGCGTGTCCCCTAGTGGCCCGAAGCAGTAGTTTAAAAATTGCGTGATGACGGGAGAGACAAATTTCGCGATGTGTTTGTACAATTTGATAATTAAGTGCCACCAAACTTCTAACTTGGTCAACGCAATTAATTCAGTTTTACTGTTCTTCGCGTTTAACGGAATGCAGAGTAATTTTATTCTTCTAGCAGTAGCAAGTTCCTGATAATCTAAAGCAAAATTGTCGATCAACAGTTTCCACGAAAGGAAAGCTTGTCTGCAATATGAATTAAAAAAAATACACATTAGCTTTTCCTCGCACAACTGAAATTAGGATGTTTGCCGAGTTTTTCACCTGCGTATAATAGGATCGATAGACTTGAAGGCTTTTTCCTCGACGCTCAGTAAATTATTTATAAGGCCGGCACCGCGATGAAGATCCGTGCCAATGAACTGGATAGTGGTATTCCACTGTGTAGTCCAATCCAGGTCGCATGCCGCTACCAAAAGCAGCATGCGTTTGTAATAGATAGACTGTAAATTGGCTTTATATTGTTCCCACAGCTCAGGCCAGTTTTTGCGGACATGAGTGGCCGAGTCGGTTGCAATAGCCTGTTGCAAGACTTTCAAAGCAGGGCCACGCTGGCGCTTGTGTCCCATGTAGGCCAATGTTACGACCTTGTCCATCAGTAGTGCGTCATACTGAAAAGAAGCAAGGATTCCCCCAGTTCTGAGTGTAACTTAAAAAAAAAATCGTTCACGTCACAATCGCGCGGATCTGTACCTTCCAAACACTTTGATCAAACGTTATGGAAGCCAGTCGGTACAGTCGTCTCAAAAGAGCGAGCGCATAACTGTTTATATCCTCCTCTAGCTTCTCCTCCTCCGACAGAGGCTGCTGTTCAATCTTGACCAACATTTGCAAATCATCCACGCATGCCGTCGGCATCAACCATTCCATTAAACTAGGCTGCACGTTGACCAAGCAGTGCTTGAAAAAATTTAGTATCTGTCCGTCATCGGCGGCCGCAGAAATGGCATTGTCGTCCACCACTTCCAACACTTTGAATATCTTTAATCTAAAATCAAGAGTGAGGATGGAGTGCCTTGTTACGCGTGCATGCAGAGTTCACATAGACCACCGGGGCAATTCTAGCGCCGGACAAACCTCGTCTTCTTGTCAGTCTGCAGCATCGATTCGAACAGGTGCAAGCGATGCGCTCGGAACTCCCGCACGATGGCATTGAAGGCTCCCAGTGCCTCGTTTTGCAAGGTACCCTCGTGCTTCGAGAACGCTTCTATCACCAGCCTACACAAGTCCTTGTAGCGTTCCTCTTTAATGGCGCCGCTCATCTCTAACTTTTTCGCTTGGCTACAAGGAAAAGGTCGAGTCTTTATCATGCACAATATCAAGGAAAATCTTTCAGCACACGTACACGCAGTCAATACATTTTTATTCACTGGTATCGGACGATGTAAGCGTATATTTCTAAACAAGTGCAAATTAACGCGCCCCATTTCTGACTCTGTGCTGGAGATCGGACGGGTCTTCATTTTACAATCTTAAGTTCGTATTTGCTCAACATTCGTTCTACAGTTCAAAGCCTGAAACTTGAGGGGGCAGATCTCTTCTGAGTCTCTCCTGTCTAAGGAGAACGCAACACTATTGCGACTCTACCAGACTCTACGCTAAATCGGACAAAGTTTCTCGAGTAAATTCGCGGTGACGACGGCGTCGAAAGGCCACGTTTCACGCTCCCGAACTTTGTTTTCACGCGACATTCACTGTATATTGCCAGCCTACAATTCGAGAAAGAGAGAGAGAGAGAGAGAAGTATCCTCTTAGCTTGTATTTTCTCTAATCTAACGCGCCGTAAACTCGGTATACATTATCGTGGGCTCGATTTTGCGCCTCTCCCCGCACATTTCCCCCCGAGCGTCGCGAGAGCCGCGACGTAGCGAGGCCGAGCGAGACCTACGACCGCCGCGGGACGGGTCGAATGCGCCGGCGATCCCGGGCCTCGTCACCGCGGGCCACCTTACCTGGCGATGTAGACCAGCGCCTCGCCCTTCTCCTTGACATTGCCGTTCTGCTGCAACGCCTTCAGCATCCTGGGGAAGGTCGCGCTCGTGACCGCGGCCATCTCGTCCCGCGTCCGTTCCCCCGCGTGCCTCGCACGCCTTCGCCTTCCGCGCGCGCGGTCAGCTGCGGGCCGCCGAGCTCCGGTCACCGGATCACCGTTCACATCTCACGCCGCGATTGCGCGCGCGAACCGGCGACACACGTCTCGTCCTCGCCGAGCCTCGAGTCACCGGACACACCGCGAGGATCCCCGCACCCTGGCGAAAGGGCGAACAACACGTCCGACTCCGACACACTGGAGCTCGCTACGCTCTCCCGCAACAGAGGGGGGGGGGGGAAGAGAGAGAGAGAGAGAGAGGGGAATCTCTCTCCGCGAAAAAAACGATCCTCGCGATCCGGACGCGTCACTGCTGGTCACTGCCTGCGCCCGCCTGTGCGTACGTGCATGCGTGCGCGCCCGCTGCATGCGTGTACGGCTCGCGCGACGCAGCGAACCGCGAGCGTTTCGGAGCCGGGCGAGGAGAGAGAGAGAGAGTTTAGTGGGAGATATTCGGTTTCGCGCGTGCTCTCTCACTCCTCTTCCTCCTCCTCCTCCTCCGCGCGGCGTCCGTCGCGACGACCGATAAACAAAATTAGTGGCGAACCCGCGCGTTTGTTTTACCCGCACGCCGCGCCGCCGCCGTAGCAGCTTCGCGCGCCCGCCACGGAGTCGTCGGGGGCGCTCGCGTTCCGTTCCCCTCCCCCCCCTCTCTTCTTTTCGGCGGGCGTTTTCATTTTAGCGGGAAGCAGCGCGACGTCGGACTGGTGCGCGTTTTTCGCGCATGCGCGACGGTAACCTTCAGCGATGCATTGGTAAAAAAAACGGGCGCAGACACGAGACTCGAATCGATCTACTTTATACATCAAAGTGTGTAATGTAATTAATTTACACAGTTGTATTATGTACGAGCGAGTCCCCTGTTATGAAACAGGGTCTTAATACGGGGATAGCGGGGGGGGGGTCTCCGTTAAATTAACAGACATCGGTGGATTCCGCCGTGAATTTTTGCCCTCGGGGCGAAATCTGTTCAGTGGAAAATTCACCGTTGGATCGTGTAATCGGCGCGACGAAAGATCCGTGATCGAATTCGGGTGTCGAAGCCGGTCGTCGCGTATTAGAAGCCTATCTCGTGACAGCGGACTATTACTCTATAAAGCGTCGTCTACAATAACCGGCGTAAGCGTGGAGTAAGAAGTAAGAGTAGGCGTAAGAGAGCTACTTCCGGTTTAATAGAGCTGGAGTAAGGGCGTAAGCGAAATGAATTATTTTTATTTCTTACGCCTACTCTTACTCTTACGCCTTTTCACGCATGCCTACAACGCCTACTTCACCGTATTGTAGATTGAGTCGGCGTAAACAGCTTACGCCAAAAACGTTACTCCTACTCTTACTTCTTACTCCACGCTTACGCCGGTTATTGTAGACGACGCTTAAAGGCCATTCTACAATTGCGTAAACGTGGTTGTTATCGGTTGTACAGTGTTGTAAAACACAGTTTTAAACTAGCATTTCCGATTGTAAAGCCTGTTGTAAAAGATGGCTGAGCTTCATCTTTCACGACTACAACGATGTAGGACGTAAAAGCTAACCAATCATTAACTTCAATTACGACGTATCTCACTCTATTGTATATTATTTTGATGTACAACACTTTCTACTACTTCTACTCCTACAACCCTGCAACTACGTTTACGCAATTGTAGAATGGCCTTAAAGGCTGGTCTACAATACATGGAGTAAGCTGGAGTAAGGAGTAGGAGTAAGGAAATAAATCCATTTTATTTCTTACTCCTACTTCAGCTCTTAAGGCTGGTCTACAATACATGGAGTAAGCTGGAGTAAGGAGTAGGAGTAAGGAAATAAATCCATTTTATTTCTTACTCCTACTTCAGCTCTTAGGCTTACTCCCGGTGAATCAAAATGCCATCAATCATGGCATTTTGATTCACCGAGAGTAAGCCTAAGAGCTAAAGTAGGAGTAA